GAAGGAAGGAAGGAAGGAAGGAAGGAAGGAAGGAAGGAAGGAAGGAAAGAAGGGAGGGAGGGAGGAAGGAAGCCAGGTGGTAGGGTGCTTCTGGAAACCTACCACTTCAGAGGCTGGAAGCAAGAGGATCAGGAATTCGAGGTCATCCTTAGCTACACAGTGAGTAGGAGGTAAGCCTGGGGTACATGAGACCCTGTCTCCAAAGTAAACTAAGTCAGGTATTATTCAAGGCCAAAGGCATTTTATTCTTTGATAAATGAAAAAGACAGAAGAACTGAGAAAGGAAAGCGACAGAAAGCCTTAAACATACATGTATATAAATAAATGGCTGCTCTTCCTTTGGCATTAGCCAGGGATAGCCTTAGCAAAAACAAACAAACAAACAAACAAACAAAAAACCAACCCACAAGTAATTCTGTAGCCAAGACCAGCATGGAAGCGTCCAATAGGACAGCCACATCCTCCTTCTCCAAGATCTTACCCGGAAGGCAGAGGGAGCAGACTGACCTGTCACAGCCTCTGGGACTGCAGTGGAGGGCAGTGTGGGGGCTTCACACTCAGGCCCTTCTCATTAAAAGTCCAGGAAAGCCCAAGGAGAGAGATCCTCAGGCTTGGCATGGCCTTCGGGCCAGATCTGGGTATGTGTCAGTTCTGTGGGGGTGGACATATGCTGTCTTGTCTTTGGGTGGACTGTGTACTTTTTCTGTTAACTATTCCATGGTTCCCACTCATATATATGAAGCCAGATTCCAAGGAGCAGAGTGTACACACAGTTCAAACACTGGTGTGTTTGAAATGCACACAGGAAACAGCTACAAACAGGCCAATAACGCTCGTATAACTCACTCACACTGGAAAAATCCATTTGTCAGAAAATAATCAGAGTGGACTGCTATTTAGTTAGAGACTTTTCCTGGGGGAGCCTGGAAGGAAAGGGGCAAGCCAGGGGAAGGCCTCAACCTTTGCCAGACAGCCTCCGAGGCTGTGTGCCGAGGCAGATGCTCCGGCTATCCTCATCGTCCTCCGGAGGCCGGCTGAGGTCATCCCAGGCACACTTGGCACTGACACCGCTCAGGTTAGAACCGTCTGTCTCGATGCCTTTGTCAACTCTCTCCTGCTTGAAAAGAACCAAAGAGTCAGAGTTCCTTCAGTGAAGGTTGCTGCCCCTGGCCCAGCTTCTATGCTTCCAGTATTATCCCTTGTAGGTGCTGAGCGTGGACAGCAGCTGTAAGATCAGGGTCTCACTGACCTTGTTCTGTTACATGTACAGTGGTCCTGCCAGTCCCTGTCCTCCTCTGGGAACAGGGTTAGGGGAAGCCAGAGGAACGAGCATGCCACAGACACTTTCTCCCCACCAACATCCAGCACAAAGGCCTTTGTGCGTCATTCAGCCTTGACAGCTCTAACCCTCTGGCCCTCAGAGCTGATGGAGCAGACAAGACCTATTTCTCTCAGGAAAGGCAGAAGGCTTCCCCTCTTCCTGATCCTCTCACCCCACCTCACCCGCTACAGGAGTTAGGGTGTAAGCCTGCCCTGAGTTGGGAACCCATACCTGCAGTTCTTCATTAGAACAGCTAGAGGGGGCCATCACCCCAGAGCAGACGGGCTGCCTGTGCACGGGTGCCAGCTAACTTTGGCAAAGGACTCTGGATGGGGTTCTGTTCCATTTCCTAGGCTGAAATAGGGGGTCTGAAGGGCAGTGACCATTGCACACTTCCCCAGAGGCCTTGCCTTTATGTAGACATTGGCACAGTTCAGTCTAAACTTTCTCCAAATGGCCTCAAGGAAGAGTTGTACTCAAAACATCCCTGGATTTTCTGGTAAAACATACTTCTGTGGTGCTGGGCTTTGGATCAAAGGTCATCTGGAAGAGTCTGGCAACCTTGTCCATAAACAGCCATGCAGGCCAAGTAAACCTCCTGTGACAAAGCTCCTCAGAAGCCCCCAGGTCCCTGTGCCAGTCTGTCCCTCTCCAGGGCTCCCAGACAAGGGCATTGTTCTTATGCCTTGGTCACATGTGGTCTCCTACCTATAAGCTACCTGTTCTTCTCTCTTCTTGTGCTGTCACCACCGGGATGAGGCAGGCAGCAGGGAGGACACAGCTCTAGCTGCTTTAGGCATGAGAGAAGGGCAGGCTGGAGCTGCTCGGGGAGTACCGGAGTTTTCTCACCAGCAGCTGCCCTGAGACCGTCCATGAAACCGAGCTGAGCAGTCAGTTCTGGCCCCGCTAGTCCTCACCACTTGTCTTTAATGTAAAGAGGAAGAGCTCAGACTCAGAGACACCAGCCGGGCGGTGGTGCGCACGCCTGTAATCCAGCACTCGGGAGGCAGAGGTAGGCGGATTTCTGAGTTCGAGGCCAGCCTGGTCTACAGAGTGAGTTCCAGGACAGCCAGGGCTATAAAGAGAAACCTTGTCTCGAAAAACCAAAAAACCCCCCCCAAAACAAAAAAACAAACAACAACAACAACTCATAGACATGGCTGCTGTGGTAATCCCAACTACTCAAGAGGCTGAGGCAGGAGGATAGTAAATTTAAGGCCCGTTGTGTTGCAGAGTGAATTCAAGGCTAGCCTGGGCAACTTAGTAAGAACATGTCTCAAAAAGTAAAAAGTGGGCTAGGCTGGGGATTGAGAGTAGAGGTGCAACACTTGCTTGACATATGTGAAGCTCTAGACTCTGCACACAGGATGGGGGACAGATGGTGGAAGGACCTGTCTGTTAGGTACATACGGGTAAACTAAGATCAAAGGAACCAGCTCACAATCGAGCTAATGGCCAACAAGCCCCAGAAAGGCACACACACAGCGTTCTCACTTGGTACATGGAGCCATCAGGAAAGCAAGCCATACTCGTTCACTCTGGTTTCTTGCCTGATGACAAAGCCATAGGTGCTATGGTTCTTGCTGCCTGGAGTCTCAGGGGGTCTCAGGCTCTCAGCATGCAGAAGGGGAAGGGTCTGCCTGCTCTCCTAATTCAGGGGACCAAGTCTTTTCTGAGTACAGGGGATAAACAAGAGCCTACAGAGCCCCATGCTGTGTCCTGTGTGGCTGTAGAACCAGGGCTTAGGGGATGGCGCCTCCACGGCTTCTGGTTCTTACATAAGCAGAAGCCACACAGAAAGCAGGTTCAAAGTAGAGATAACTCTGGCAGCATTGAGATCATTTCAGGGTTAAAGGTACCCAGAAAGTGGAGGAGCCTCATGAGTAAAGGAAGAGGCTATGTGCTCAGAACTCACAAGTCAGTAGCAAAGAACCTATAGGTCTGCAAACTACATGTCCCTGTACAATCTGAAGTGCCTAGTTGCTGCCATGGCCTGCCTTACAGGCCCACTGGAGCATTACAGAAACATGCCAAGTTCAGAGATGGCCATGACCTTGACCTGCCTCTGGTGTGAGGTAAGCAGAAGGAGCCAGTGGTCTGGTGCTTCTACCCCTACACAGTGTTCAAGAAATGCAGCAATGCTCCGGGGCTTCCAGAATACAGCTGTGTGCCAAGTGATCATCTATTCTTAACCACCGAAGGTGACACTGACACTGTCCAGACAGCCACAGTAGGGTCAACTGCAGACTGGCAGGGCTTAAAGACTCCTTCACACATCAGAGGGTGCCAACCTACCTGGCAGGGTTGGGGAATGAGTTAGGAAGAACGAGAGGATCATTGGACCAATCAGCGCCCACCCTGCAAATGGGCTGTGGGGTCAGCATAGCCTGTGTTGCTGTCTGATACAGGAAGGGCAGCTCCCTGAAAATGTGTTGAGGAGGAGGAGCAGGGAAGTGAATGCAGAACAAAGAAGCATTATTCCTTATGATTACCTTCCTTTGTTGGTGGTGATCTAATTTTAAGTTGATACATAATTTACATATAATAAAGTCCATTCTTTTTAAATGCACACATATATGTGTCAGGCTTGCTTTTCTGGGCTGAAATCTGTTTTCCTAAGAGGGCTGTAGAACTCAGGGGACAGGTTCCAAACCATGCCATATTTCTCCTGGCTCACACACAGAACTCCTCTGCTCTGTCAGGATGAGAGCCAGTGTTATTTGGAAGAGTGTGCTAACAAGGTTTCCTCACTCAAGACATACTTGCAGGTGTGGATCGATCTCAAAGATGGTCTCTCCCCTCCGCATGTCAGTTATGAGCCAGGGACCGCCAGCACTGTGGACAAGGAGAGACGGTGGTAACTGAAAGTCTGAACTGATTGGCAGTCAGTAGCCTTTCTTGTTCGCTGTCCCAGGCCCAGAACATAAAGGACAGTGTTAGTGGTCAGGGACCACAGAGAACTGACGGCCCGAAACAGCAAAGCAAGAACTCTATAGGTGGGATGGAGGGAGGACAGCCACCCCGAAGACCAGGGATCCAGGCCTCTACCTTACAGGGACATGTACTTACATGGGCACTGTCCGCAGCAGATCCAGGATGCCCTGCCCGTTCCACTGTTGGGCAGAGTGTAACTCCTCAGTGCAGACACCAACAATCTGTGGCCCAGGACAAGAAGCCACTGTGTTTTAATGGCCATCCCTTCTAGATGTCCAGCTATCTGGGCTCTCTCAGGGGCATCTCAAATGGGGGTCACATAGGTAGAGTGTTTCTAGTGCCCGCAAAATGTAATGGCTCCCTTAGGAGGTGCTTGCCTAGCTAAGGGGTTCCTGAGTACATTGCCAGGCATGGAGGCCTGACCAGGTATCTAGTGGCACAGAGCCTAGCTCTTGGCTACAGAAGAAACATCGGGCAGCTTATGCCTTAAGTCAGGAGAGGTCCTCCCTAAGGCCAGGTATTTAGGGGCAGGGGTGACTGTCAGCTAGCTGTCCCTACAATAGTTCCGCCTTTGTGTAAGTCTTGAGGGTAACAGCTGAACCATCTTCAGCTTGACTCATTAGCACCATAAGCATGAGCAGCAGCCAGGGAGCGTCCCCCACTGGGGAAATATGAGGTAAGCCTGGAGCTGGCTTTCAGCTGGGAAGTCCCTCCACCTCTGCCCCTGCAGTGTGAACTCAGATAGACCACCACAGGGGAGAAAAGACCAAGGGGAATCTCCTGCCCTTCACTTTCCCCTTCCACGGTCCCCTCTGCTCTGGACTTTCCCCACAAGGATAAACTGCCTGAGACCTCTGATGGCACCTTACCTGGAGGAAAGTAACTACCCCAAAGGGTGTCCGCACAGGCTGCATCTGTGGGTCCTCCGTCAGCAGCATGTGCTGAATTCTTGACTCACTGTTATCCAAAGGGCTGTGCCAAGACACATGGTCCCCGCTACAGAAGGTGTTCTCTGTGGAGAGACAAGAGGACCCTTAGCATTTGGATTCAGGCCTGGAAACTTCCCTGAGACCTCAAAGCCCAGGTTGGGCGGCCCCTCACTCCCCAAGTCTTTTAGAACAGCTGGATGCACCCACTCCCAATACAAGCAAAGAACTGCAGCTACTCCCAGAACACCAAATGGTCCAGGATGGCCTAATCTGTTTGCCTTCACTGGGAAGGGCAGGCTGCTGGTGTGCACACTCACTTGACCTAGGAAGGCCAAAGACTTCTAGCATCTGCTGTGCTTCTCCAACACCACTCCCCGTGGGAAAGGGCATGATCAAGTCAGCCAAGAATGAGGTGCTTTCCAGTGGGGCCAGTGGACCATCAGAGAGCAAGGAAGCTGGGAACAGTGGGAATTCTTCTTGGAAAAACAACCCAGGATTTCTGTGTTGGTGAATCAGCGAAGGAAGGGAACACTCAACCTCAGAGAGCCCTGGAGATCTGTCCCAAGCTCCCACAGGCAGACTAAGGATTTCTGAGGATCACTGAAGACCGAGTAAATGGAGGTCAGGATCGTGCCTTGCCTACCTCAGCAGACTGTACGGCCTTGGGGGTGGGGAGTGCCTCTGTAACACAAAGGCTTATTACTTAAAAAAATAAAGTGCCAAAAGTAGGAGGGGCACATGCATGCAATCCTAGCACTCAAGAGGTAAGGCAAGAGGACAGTAAGTTGAGGCTAGTTTTGGTTACCTGCCAACAGTCTGAAAAAATAAAAACAAAACACCAAACAGAACATGTCTAAGGCAGCAAAGCCTTAGGGAACACTCCCATGCAGTACTAGGTTCCCCCAACCCCGGCTCTTGTCATGAACACTCAGCATGTGCTGCTTTAACCAGTTCATGTGCAACCACGGGTGCCCAGACTGGGCCCCAATTCCCTATGCAGCCAAGGATGACCTCGAACTCCAAACCTTACCTTCATCTCCAAGTGTTGAGACTACAGACATGTGCTACCATACCCAGTTTTGGATTCCTTTTTAAAATGTGCAAGGCTGTTTTGACTGCACGTGTGTCTGTGTTTTACTTAGGTGTTTGGGGCCTGACGATACCAGAAGAGGGCATCAGTTCTCCTAGACGTGAACTTTTAGACATCTGTGAGCTGCCATGTGGGTGCTGGGAATCCAACCTGGGTCCTCTGGACAAGCAGACAGTGCTTTAACTACTGAGCTGTTTCTACAGCCCTGACCACACCCAGTCTCCTGCGATGCTGGAGATGTAGCCCAGGGTGGTGGGCAAGCTAGTGAGTGAGCTCCATCCCGGCTCCCTCCATTTCTGTGAACACATATGCAAGGACCTGAGTGTCCACGTTTCACCCATTTCTACATCTTAGAGTGCATTCCACACCTGCTTGCAGAAAACCTCCTTTGCTAACTGTCTGTGTCATATGTCATGTGGAACACGTCACACATGCCATACATACCAGTCTAAGCCCAGAAGCCTCTGCCCTCACTTGCCTTGACTGTCTTGTCTTGCTCTGAACTCTTAATTCCTTCCTGTGTCACCTAACATTACTCAACCATCGTTCCCAGGCAGACACAGGCTGGGGAGTTGGCAACACTTCCGCAGTGTTCATTCAGGAAGGGAGGGAGAATAACATGGAGGAGAAGGCGGAGCTCCTGAGAGAGTCTCAAGTTTCTGGACTCATGCTTGCACACTCCTGAACCCCACAATCTTTCCCCTGCCATGTCTATGATCAGCATCCCCCCCACATATACACACACAGGTATCATGTTACATGTGCACTGATAAAGACTAAGAGAGAAGACAAGACTCGGGTCACATGAGTTTACAGCAAGCTTGGGACACATGAGATCCTGTCTGTAGGAATAAAGATTAAAAGACAGAACACAACAACACAGCACTGGTGTCTCTGAGACATGGAAAAGAAAAAACACTTCACAAAATTCAATGCAGACAAAAACCAAACCAACCAAACCATTGAAACACAGACTAGATGGGTGTGTCTCACTCTGGGAGAGGACTCTAAAACCCACAGCTGACACCGTGCTCAGAGGTAAACCAGACTCATTTCCTTCTTCCATCAACAACAAGACAAATATTTTCAAAGTATGAACAAGGTTCTAAGCTCCTCTCCAGCAACTGAAAATAAACACATAAATAATAAGAAAAGAGACAGAGAACAGAGTTGAAGGTCTCTCGTTTGTCAGTCTACGCAGTATTGAGCATCAGACTCAGGGCCTCAACATCCACGAGGCTAGCACTCCACCGTGAGCCCAATATACCAGCCAATCCGCCTGCTTTCAAGCTATGAAGCTACAGTTGCCAAGTGAGTAGAGTCTGGCACAGGAGAGGCACTTGATCAATACAGCACAATTGGGACCACAGAAATAAAGCTGCACACTTATGGCCATTAATTCTGACAACAGTGCCAAGATACTCAAGAGAGGGGGAGGAGGAGTCTTTTCAGCAAACGTTGCTAGAACAACGGGCTATCCAAATTCAAAGGACGCAAATTGGAACACTTCCTTATACCATAAACAAAAATTGACTCAAAATGGATCATAGACCTAACTGTGATAGTTAAGACTGCAAAGCACTTAGAAGAAAACAAAGAAGTGTCAGATTAGGCCCTGGTTCCCTGGATGTAATACCAAAGGCACAAGCAACAATGGACAGACAAATTGAACTTCATCAAAATTAAAGCCATTTTGTGCTGTAGCCATCACCACCAAGAAAGAAAAAAGAAATGCAAATCAAGCCACGCCCACTTTACATCCATTAGAATGGTAATTATAAACAATAACAAAAACAAATCCAGAAATGACAAGTATTGGTGCTGACGTGGAGAAATTAGAGCCCTTGTACCCTGCTGGTGGCGATGTCAAATGGTACAGCTGCTATGGAAACAGTATAGCAGATCCCCAAAAACTAAAAACACAGAATTACCGTAAGATCCAGCAATTCCAATTTGGGGTACATACTCAAAAGAACTGAAAGCAGGGGCTTGAACAGATTGTGTGCTAATGCTCACTGCAGCAAAAAAGTGGAAGCCATCCAAATGCCCATCAATAAACTAATGGACTAACAATATGTGTAATTTACATAAAATGAAATACTACTTAGCCTTAAAAGATGGACAGTCTAGCCTGTGCTACTACATGGATGATCCTCAAAAACATATTAAGAGAAATCAGACAGACAAGGAGAAATGATTCATGACTCCATTCTTGTGAGGAAGACCCTGTGTAGTCATGTTGCACACTGAGTGACAGTTGAGGAGTTGGTTTAATGGTGTAGCGTCCAGTCTAGGGAGCTGAGGAAGGGACTCAGGATGAATGGTGGAGATGGCTGTGAAGTACTGTGTTGAGGATGAGAATTTTCACGTTATTTATATCCAAACACAATTGAAAAAAAGACAACCTACAGAATAGAAAAATAGTGTCAAGCCAAAAACCTGATTAAGCCCTCAAAATATAAGCATATTATGCTCAGAATATATAAGGAGCTCTTACAACTTAATAAGAGGCAAACAAGCCAATTAAAATCAGGCAAAATATCTGAATAAATGGTTTTTCAAAGATATAAAAACAACCAATTAGCTCATAAAAAGAGGCTCAATATATTTAAAGGGGAAGTTAATGTTAAAGCCGCAAAGAGATGACAGTGCTCTGTTATAAAGCGGTTGAGATTTAAAGACAGAAAACACAGGGCAGTAAGCTGTAGAGAGCCTGGGCGGGGCAGTAAGCTGTAGAGAGCCTGGGCTGGGCTCAAACTGCTATGTAAACATGGACATGAACTCAATCGTTCAGAACCCAGGGGAGAAGCGGTGGCAGCCAGTGCCTGTAATCCCAGCCCTGAGGAGACAGACAGCAGGGATCCTAAGCGCTTGCTGGCCAGCACGAGTGACAGACCCCATATCCAAAAACAAGAAAGGGCCGGGGAGGTGGTACAGTGGTTATGAGCATGTGTTATTCTTGTGGAAGACTCAGGTTCAGTTTCCAGCATGCAGACTGCAAAGCTTGAGAACCCAAGGTTGATCCCGAGGACCCATACAGTAGAAGGAAAGAACTGATTGCTGAAGTGGCTCTCCAACTCCCAGGTGTACTGTGGCACATGTCCGCACATGTGTACACATGAGCACACACACTCACATACACTCACGCTGAATGAATGTAACTTGAAAAATTACACAAAATGAAAAGAGCCACTCACAGAAGATCATATACTTCTTATCTGCCGCCACTGCTGTAGAGTACTGTAGAGCACTTGGACAGCTTGGGGAGGTGGACAGGGGTCAGTGGGAAGGTCTGCGTGTGTGTTTCCTTGGGGGATGTAGAAAACATTCCCGGTTCACTGAAGTAATGGTTTCCAACTGTGAATTATATATTACGTGAGCCATCAAAAGCTGTTGTGAAGAAGAGGAGGAGGAGAAAGAAGAGGAAGAAGCGGAAGAGGAGGACGAAATGATGATGATACTGGAGTGGGGCGAAGTAGAGGGACCAAGCCTGTCCTCACCTGGCCCTGGCTCAGCAGCCAGCCCAGCAGAGACCAGCTCGTACCGCTGGGCCAGCGCTTTAGTATCCATAGTTGCAGAAAGGGTGCTTGAGACTGCCAGCCGTGTGGCATGGCAGTGAGAATGGACTCTTCCTAACACTCACCAACCCCACCAAGAGCTCTGCCTGACCTGTGTCCCTACATTATCTATTCTTTCCCACGACACTACACACTTTTTACTCCAACAAGCTTTTAAAAAGTTTTATTTTTTTATCCGACTTTCTGCCTGCATGAATGTATATGTGCCATATGTATGCAGTGTCCTAGAAGAACAGAAGAGGGATGCTGGATGTCCTGTAACTAGGGCTGTAGACAGTTGTGTCATATTGGTGCTGGGAACCATACCTGGACCTTCTGCAAGAGCAGCAAGTGCTTAGAACAGCTAAGCCAGCTCTTCAGCCCCAAAACAAATCTAATTTTACTCAAACCTACTTTTTCTTCAGTTCTGGGGATG